CAGCTCCTTCTGCCACACCCTCCCCATCCCTGCTACCAGATTTGCTCCCGGTATCATCACTCACGTCGCAGCCGCTGGATCTGTTATCCTCACCAACTCCTTCAGCCTGGAGGATGCTCAGGCTCTCTAGCCCCAGGCTGAAAGGGAAGCGGTTGGGTCATTACTTACTTTTCCTGAGTATTGAGACATGTTCTGCTGGCTGCTATCCAAGACCAAAAGCGGGAGCCAAACCAAACCCGCGATGGACAGAACATTGGACACCGCACTATATAGGAGCGGGCGCGGGGGGGCCGGGCCGGGGCTGGTGTCGCGAGGGTTTTTTAACAAAGCCGCGGGAACCAAGGGCTTTGCGCTTTCCTGCTTCGTAGGCAGAACCGCCGGTAACGGGGCCTGCTGAGTCTGGGGTTTTGATTTTGGGCAGATGATCTGACAAAAGATTTGCTTGGCAGGGCTTTGGTCGATTAGCAGTGCACATTTACTGCTCCTTTTTGGAGGACTTTTTTTTTCCCCTTTTTTTCCCCTTTTCCCTCTCTTTATTTCTCTTTTTTTTGTGTTTCCTTCTCCACATCCCTCTTCTCCCCCCGACTTTTCCTTATTTTCTTTTTCTTAGAAGAGATAACAAGCAACTAAGGAAACAGCAGCATCTCTACGCACGGCGCATAGTCCCCCCGTGTTGGGTTTGTTGCCTTTTACTATTAGGCTGCTTCTTCCCACCTATTGCAGCGTGGCAGCCAAGAGCAGGTGTCCTCAAAGACTTCTCACCAATATACATTGCACTCCATCCATCAAACCAATGGTATCTCATTCAACCTTTGAACCTCTTTAAATGGCATCTCTGGAAGTCAAGGACCCGATCCCCTCCAAAGCTCAAAAGTTGGGCTCACAAACCCACTGATGTTACTCACAAGCATCGTTTTTATGAATGTTTTGCTCTTCCAGCACTGGAGCCCTGACTCACAGCTGTAAGTCAGGATTAGAGGGACTTTTTAACCATAAAGTTACCATAATAAAGTAACCTATATTGCAGCTATATGGGACAGTAAAGTCCTCAGCTGGATTATAAGAACATCCAGAGACTTTGTCATATTCTCAGGATAAATAGCAAAGAAAACCCCCAGCCCATAAACCCCATCAGTTTATATTAGTGAGCCAGGTTAGAAGAGGTAAAGACAAATGCATGGTTGTTGCCCAGGGACCAGCATGAAGAGATGTACCAGGGGACCATATTAAAAGGAGATTTGTCTTTTATGCTACTTAATAGTTCTTGAAGAAACTTCACACGCAGTTCCTTCTCATCAAATCCTCCTCTTCCTCACCCACTGGGCCCCATCACCTCCCTTTGCTGCTGCCACCTCTCACCCTACACCATCAGGCAGGCACATGCTTCAAATCCAAACCCTAAAACCTAATTTCTTGGCAGGTCACTCCCATCTGCACACGTGCCAGGAGCCTCACTCTGCTGCCTTGGTTCACCGCTTCGTTTCAAGATTAAAGACTGTTTCAGAAGAAAAGATGTCATTATTAAGGCTTGAATGTACACCACCCTTTCAATTAAGATGTAAAAGTTAATAAGCACTTGTGTGCTCACACGTAGGCAGAGCTGGAAGATGTCAGTTGACTGGGATGTGCTGGAAAAGGAAAGAGGGAGGTGGCACATTCTTCAGCTGATGCAGGTAAACCTGACCTGGCATCATAGAAACATGGTTTACATTTACATTTCTGATGGGATGTAGGAAACCATGAAAAAAGCCTCATACCCTACCCAAATCCTCACTGAAATGCTGATGCTAATTTTGAGGTGTTAAATTAGTCACCAGATGGTGTAGAGAAAAGTAACAGCACACTGAGAGTCTTAGAAGGAAGAGCTGCAGCCAGGGCAGGGGCACTAGCAGTGGGCCTCAAAACTTGCCCTTCCCTGTGGCCTTGTGCTCAGTGCTCTGGGAGGACAGGAGAGGTGTCCCTCTTCTGAGTCATGGCTGGAAGCACAAGGTGGCACCGTTGTTGGCACTGGGACCCACCTCTCCAGCCATTGAGGTCCTAAGAGCCCACATGCTGTTTGCATTGGCCATGAGCTGTTTGGTGACTGGAGAGGAAGACCCACAGCATCTTTAGGGCAAACTGGCCCTAAAGTACCCAGGAAAGCAAGTGTTACCTCAGGAGGAGGTTTTTATGGAACCACAAAAGTCTGGTTTCCTCTAGCTCTGTCCAATGATGGGATTGTCCTGTTTCTCCTAAGGTGTGAGCTTTAATTAAATGTGCAGGAGCCTCATGAACCTGAGGCTTGTGCTCAGTTGTCAGATTGGTTAGAAGTTGTCCAACAGGTTCAAAAGCTATTTTAGGAGAGAAGGAAATAGTGTGTGACAACTTTATTCTCATTTCTTTGAGAAAGCACATTAAAAATACAAAATAACAAAGGATTCATCTCTAGAAAAAAAAAAAGGACGACAATGGGAGAATGGGAAATCATAACTACTGGACAAAACTCCTTAATTCCTTGCAAAAGATGGCAAGGCTGCCAATGGAAGAGAGAAAAGAGCAGCCTGAGGAGCCTGTGGCCACTAGCAGCCTTTCAGGCACACAGTGCTGGGACAGACTTCACCTCCTGCTCGTGCCCAGGTGCAGGATCACATCCAACCATGCAGCCCCACACTAACAGGGTGGTGGGCAGCTTTCCTCCACTGGGGCTGCTTAAAGGATCAAACATTGGAAACACGAATTGGAGTGTTTGGCTTAACAGACAAAAAACCCCAAAAGTCTGAGATTCTTTTGTGTTCTTGGTTTAGAGGGAGTGAGAAGTCACATTTAATGTCTGCAGGGGCAGCTCCAGGCTGTGCCATCCCTGCCTGCCTCAGCTGCCACGAGGCAGAGCCAGGGGGTGTGAACAGGGTGTGACTCCTGGAGGTGGATCTTTTGGAGTGGACGTGAATATTCCTTGTCAGAGGCTTAGCAGGATTAGCTTTCTGCTCAGAGGTACCTGCTGTGTCCAGTACAACCCCACACAATTACAGGAGCAGCAGCCAAGGAGTTGCTCCACATCCTCTGAAAGGGCCACGCTGCAGTTTTCAGATGAGCCTGTAGTATTTGCAAAGCAGCATGAGACCCAGCACAGAAAATCTATCTCAGGGCTTTCAAAACTCCACCTTGCTTTAAAAAGCTCACAGACTCTTCACATACCTCAGTACGAGATACTTGGAGCTCATTAGATATGGAACAACCATGGGTCTTGCTCCTACCCACAGAAACATGAACATTTTTTGGCTCACTGCTTGGAATGATGAGCACATCTCGTGGGCCTCTTCAGAGCAGCAACAGACCTCAAAGTGAGAAACCATCCTTATGACTCAATGGAGACTTTGTATGTGAAATCCATGTTGCTCGATGAAGACCTAGCCCACCTCAGACCAGTTGCAAAAATACTAATTTCTGCTGGCGATTAACCCATTCCCAGTGCCTGAGTACACCATGTGCTGCCTCCAAGAGATGCTGAGGAGGTTGGTTACATGAACTGCAGAACATCTCTGCAAAACATTCAACCCACATCCTTACTGGCACATATATCACCTGTTGCTGGAAATGGGAATCAGTTGCCAGGCAATGGTTTTGGGTTCAATGTGTTGCCTTCATTGTGGCTACACTAAGACATAGACTCTCTGCAATATCTCTACCAGGGGTGGCCATACCACACTCTGACCCACCACCCATCACATGCTGCACACCTTTTGTCTCCCACTCCAAAAAACCTCCTCAGCCTGAGCAAGCCCTGTCACAGACTCATGGGTCAGATCTGGCCAGGCTCCTCCTAGGGAAAATAATTCCTCACCTTGGAAATGGGACCTGCTGGTCAGGTTTAGCCAATTATAGAAGTGAGTAATGCAAAAAATCTAAAAAGCTTGTTTTCAGTAATATTCTCTCTAGGGATCAGTGTTGCTGCAGCTCATCACACATCTCAGTCAGAATCTGACCAAGATCAGACTTGGACTTCATTTTGGACTAATCAGAAAGTCTGAGGTTTCGGGGATCCTTTCAGTTTGCACTGTATTTCAAAAAGGAGAAGTTCCTTAGGTGTCCCGTTTCCCTACTGGAAAAGCTGGATGCTGAGGACACCCATCAGCCAGACGAGTTTGGCCACATTTTGGCATGTCCCTAACGAGTTGAAGGCATCTGTACAAAGGTTCTCACTCTCCCTCCCCAGCTGTCAAAGGGGAGCAAGTTTGACCTTATTAGATGAGGCTGTGAAGATGAGTCAGTATCAGAGAAATGCTCTGAAGATGAGCAGTTCTGATTACATAAGGACTAATTAGAACCTGTTGACTTCTCCTTCTCAAGAGGCTCTAGCTCAGCTATGTTAATTAGCAAGCCCAGGCACATTGTCACCACCTGCACCACACAGCACACAGCACAGCAGCCTCTGACATCTGCACCGAGCAGCAGCAATGCTTTAGCAACAGAGGTGTAAGATTATATGTTTATTTTTAAAAAGGTGAAACCAAAAATATGCACAATGCCATAGACTGCCCTTCTCGCTTGGGGCTGCTGCTCATATTGTACTTTGGAGGAAAGTGCTGCGAGTTGGGGTACAACCAGCTTGGTGGTCTGTGCTTACCTTTGCCAGAGACAAGGGGGAGGGCAAAAGTTGTTCTTGATCACTTCCAGGATGCTAGTCTGGATATGGACATTCCTCTATTCAAAGAAGCTTAGAAACAGAAAGCCTAAAGCCTTCACCATTGCCTCCAGGTCTGACTTCATCCCATGCTGCTCTGCCCTTGGGTGAGGAACAACATAAGACTGTCTGGCCTAGGTACCACAGTACAGCTACTGCAGACATGGGAGCAGTAAAAACACTTTTCCATCTTTCTTCTTCTGCAGTGTGCACTTACCAACCCTTTAGAGAAGCTGGGAAAAAGCATTATGCAAAAGACTCCACAGAGCTACAGCAGACTGCCCTCAAGCCTTCCCTGTCCTGGAGTTAATCAGGCAGGGACAAACTTTACTATGCATTGAAACAACAGGAAAAAGCAAGCTCATGTATCCACTTTCTGCCTCCATCTTCCCCACACCGGGCTCACCTGTCCAGCTGCTTTCCTCATCCTTAGCATTTCCATGCATGACAGATGAGCAGATCAGGCTCTGGGACTCAGAATTATTCAGTCAGCAAAGCAAGGAGTTGGGACAGGAGCACAAGCAAGGCAGAAGTAATTTCCAGACCAGCATATTTTAAATCCACAAAAATCAATGAGAAGTTAACTTGACTTACAGTAGTTAAATTTTCACATAATCATAGAATGCTTGAGGTTGGCAGGGACCTCTGGAAGTCACCTGATCCAAGCCCCTGCTCAAACTGGGTCACCTGGAGCTGTTTTTCCAGACCATGTCCAAGCAGCTTTTGAGTATCTCCTAGGTGTCCACTGGTGGACAGTGCCTGGTCACACTCATAGTGAAAAAATTTTGCTTGTTATCTCAGTAGGAAAAGGATCTTTGCACTTTCACCTTTGACAATGATCATGTCTCAAGAATAAGGCTGGGTCCTATTAAGTGTCTATCCATTTTTTTTTCTAGCCTGAACCAGAGATCTTATTTCCTCTGTGACTTACCTTTTAATCCATGCACCATCTATCACAATCCTCCAGAAGTCTCCAAAGGATCAGGGAGGCTGCACAAATTCATCAAGTCCAAGCAAGCAGCAGTTTGCTAGATACTGCTTTCTCAGTTCTGTACCTAACAGGGCTACCAAGATTGCTCCCCACCCCACCTCAGGGCTCTCACTGAAGAACCCAACCTGTGCCAGCTCAGGATAAGGAAGCATGAGGCTGCCCCAGCCTCTACTAGACTCTAGCTGCTGGAAGGTGCCATCCTGAGAAGTCAACTGAAACCCCTGTACAGCAAAGGACAGGCAGGTCACTGATCACACTTGACTACATGTTTCAGTAGAGCTGCAGGACTATTGCACATGGCTGGTCTTCAGATCTTATTAGCAGAGAAAGGCTTGGATGAGTGGACTAATTTATATTTCTCACTGGATGAGCCAGCAACAGGAGAAAGGGAACAAGATGTGTGGTTGAGTTCAATTCTTCAGCTATTACACAAAATGCAAGAGCAGTACAAGCCTCTCAGTGCTGAATCATAGAATGGTTCGAGTTGGAAGGGACCTTAAAGATGACCTAGTTCCAACCCCCCTGCAATGGGCAGGGACACCTTCCACTGGATAAGGTTGCTCCAAGCCCCATCCAGCCTGGCCTAGAACACCTCCAAGGATGGGGCATCCACAGCTTCTCCAGGCAACCTGTGCCAGTGCCTCACCATCCTCACAGTAAAGAATTGCGTTCCAGTATCTAATCTAAATCTGCTCTTCCATTCCCCCTTGCCCTGTCAGTACATGCCCTTGTAAAAAGTCCTTTTCCAGATTTCATGCCTTGGAAGCTCCCATTGCAAATTATGATCTTATTAGCAGAGAAAGGCTTGGATGAGTGGACTAATTTATATTTCTCACTGGATGAGCCAGCAACAGGAGAAAGGGAACAAGATGTGTGGTTGAGTTCAATTCTTCAGCTATTACACAAAATGCAAGAGCAGTACAAGCCTCTCAGTGCTGAATCATAGAATGGTTCGAGTTGGAAGGGACCTTAAAGATGACCTAGTTCCAACCCCCCTGCAATGGGCAGGGACACCTTCCACTGGATAAGGTTGCTCCAAGCCCCATCCAGCCTGGCCTAGAACACCTCCAAGGATGGGGCATCCACAGCTTCTCCAGGCAACCTGTGCCAGTGCCTCACCATCCTCACAGTAAAGAATTGCGTTCCAGTATCTAATCTAAATCTGCTCTTCCATTCCCCCTTGCCCTGTCAGTACATGCCCTTGTAAAAAGTCCTTTTCCAGCTTTCATGCCTTGGAAGTTCCCATTGCAAATCATCCAGAGAACATGCACTTCCTTTTAAGCCCTCCTGAAAAGCCTCACCTCTGGAAGGCAGGACCTGTTATCCCAGGACTATCAAGTTGACCATTAACCCTAACCCTAACCCTAACCATCCATCCCCTTTTAAAGCCTTGGCAGCCAGTACACCTCAAACACCAAGGCAGCAGCTATTTCAGCCTTTAGACTGATTGCCAGTACCCACACGACCACTGTTTTGCAAAAAATATTGAGTAAATGTGGCCACTGAGATTTCTGTTATTCCAGAACTTCCACCATGTGATGCAGACCACATGGCACTGTGTCTGTGATGCAACGGCACAGCCTCCGGTCACGCAACAAGTCATCCGTGACCTCATGATCAGGCCATGAAGGATAACAGATGTTCACAGTTCTGTGCTCCACAGATCACCTTCTGCATCCTCAGTGCTGTCACTATCAGCCACACAACCCTCATTCCAGTGCTGCAGGTACTTGTGAAAGCAGCCCCAGCTCAGAAATCAAAGCATGGCCTTATTCCCTGAGTGAGCACTCCAACTTTGTTGGGTGTCAGCAATCCATCATGTGTGACAATCATCCCGCTACAGAACCTGTACTTGGTACAGGGGATGAAAATCCACGTTACAGGAGTTCAGGGCAACCTTTAATTGGGTTTTTTTTTGCTAGGAAGAGTTAATCTCATGGTGCCCAAAATAAATAGCAAGTTTTTCTACATACACTGTCAATTGAGAGGTTAGACCTTTTTCTGTATGAGGGAACAACTGCACAAAGAAATGAGATGCTGAATTTGTATCTTTTAGCACAAACTGAAATGCAAAAGCTAATTCTGGTTGCGAAACCATTGCAAGTTTCCCTTCCATTTTACTCCTGCCAGAAATGAAGCTTTCAGATGAACACAAAAATGCATGAGAAACACTTCATTTAATTAACTGTTCCCCCAATGAGCCTGGTTTGTTTTTATTGTTTTGGGTTTTGTTTTGCTTTTAAATACAAAGTAGGTCAACTGCACATTCTTAAGGATATAGTTGAAGTAGTTTGTTTTCAGACTCGAGAGATTAAGGCTTGCTAAGCCTCTATGTCCAAAAGTCAAGCAAAAACTTGGAGCTGGTTAGGGAAAGCTGCTCAGAGCTGTGCTGGGAGGCTGAAGTGTGTGTGGTCAGGCACCCAAGAGCACTCACCTTTCCCACTGCTCTCCAGATGCAGAAGTACCAAAATGCATGACAAACAGCCCACATCGCTTTGTTCAGGACGTGCAATTTATTTTAAATGACATTTTTGTTTTCTTAACAAGTCTACGCTTGTGACCTGGATAAATCCACTCCATCCTGACAGCGTTCCCAGTTACAAGTCCACGTGAACAGTCTGTAGCACAGCTGTGCCAGCCCCACACCTGGGACAGGTCTGTGCACCCTTCACTCAACAGTTACAGAGGAAAAACACAGAGCACGTTGTCTGACTGAAACCCAAGCCTTCCCTTCCAAATCAAGCTGTCACTTGTCTCTCCTTGCTGTGAATGGGCACAAAGCACAGTTGAGCTGCTTGGCCAGCCTGGAGTTCCAGTAGCAAAAATGTTTGGGATCACTTGCAAACAACTTCCCAAGCAATAAGTCAAACAATCCATTGGCTCCAAGGATCTCACGCCTCCTCTTAAGGTCAGCAGGTGAACATTTTTCACAAAAAAAAAAAAAAAGAAGTTGATATGGAGTAATCAACAAAAAAATTATAAACAGAACATTTAAGGTTTGCAGCTATTTTATTTACAAGTATACATTTAACACAAAGAAACACTGATATCCAAGCCTAGTTAATAGTAGTGTAACAATATGCATCATTTTGATGATTATTCTAACCAACAAACTACACTGAAAAATTAATGCCAGTAAAATTCTTGGTCATAATATTAAGAAATACAATATATAAATTGAAAATATGATTGCTTAAAATTTGAAAATGGAAGTGAAGCCATTTGCACAGGAGTCAGAGTTTAACATAATCTGAAGGGAAAGGCTCCAAACCAACTGTTTATCTCTCAGGTTAACAGAAGAAAAAAAAAATTAAAAAAAAAAAAAAAAAAAAAAAAAAAAAATAAAAAAAAAGAAGCATAGTTTATCCTTAAAGATAATGGGCAGTTTTGCTTCTTCAGGTAGAATGTATTCCCAGTGTTTTCAGGTTCTGCAGTGGAATTACATTACTGAGCATGAAGACTTCCCTTGTGAAGCTGCCCCATCAATTTTTTCTGCCTCCAAAATTATCCTCTTAAAAACATCAACGGCAGTCTGCAAAGAGAGAGAGCACTGTTAGCAGGTAAGGAGGAACTTACTGAAAAATAATAAAAAAACATGTTAGCAGTTTTACTGGCTACATCAGCAGGCAAATGCACACCCGATGCTTATTCCAAAAGTAAAGAGGGAAAAAAATGGTAATTTCTGTTTTGAAGGAAAGTGCAAACCCCTAATTTCACAGCAATACTCCAGTGTTTTCTGTCACAGCACGGAGGGCAGGTACAGAGTGAGCCAGACTCACAACAGAGCTCATAACTCACCTGACTTGACACAGAGAGCTTGCACTGAGTGACTGACAGCACTGAAGATTTTGATGTTGTGCTGCTCCAGAGCATAAATCAATCCATTTCCTATCTTTAAGATACTGAGTAATTACAGAAGGCAGCAGATTTTTCAGCTCCCAACACTGACTTTGCACAGCCCAGTACAAGGGTTGCTTTAATACCAATGATTTTTCTCATCCTTCCCACAGCTCAGACCAGTATCAGACACAGAGCAACAACACGAGGGGAAAACATGAGCTGAACTAGGAACTGTCTAGTATTAAACAATTCTTTGATAAAATCCTTCTGAGAGAAAGTGGTTTATATTTTAAACAGCCTGAACTGTATGATCAGTGCTTCAGCATATGAATCTTCAACTTTGAAAGTTTCCTGCTCATCTCAGACGAGTCATTTGATCTAACCTCTAGCCATCCATTGCAGGAATTCCAAGCACAGTAAAGTATATTCATTCTATAAAAGCAGTCACACTATGGAAGAAGATAAAAAGGGACTTTTGTTGGTTTTTATCAGCTGGCTAAAGAGCACCCTGTGATTTATGACTACATATTCTGATCTAACAGATGTTTTTCCACCTCCAGAAGATACAATTCTTAACTGGATCACTTCCAAATTAATCACATTGATGGAAGCCCCAAAACGATCCTAATAAGATTAGACTGAATGTGACAAAGTTTCCCATATTTACACAGTTTGTGCACAGGATGATCTCTGAAAATACTTAAAATACTTCACCAGCTGGAAAGAGAGTATTCCTCCCTACAATGGAGTTTCCTGCAACCCCAACAGAACCTGATAGAAGTGGCTCATTAGTTCAGTAATGACACAACACATTTCCTCAGCAAATGAGACTCTAGGAGAACAATGGTCGTGACTGTGGTTGCTATCAAACTGATTCCACTAATGAACAGTTTCCCTTAATCAAAACTTGGTGATACACTAACTTACAAATACACTGCACCAGTGTTTCCTGAGAGTCAAAATTTTCAATGGTTTCGTTTTCATGCACAAGTTTCTTTATGCCCACGTTTCGCAGTGCCCATTAAAAAGCCTCCACAACTTACTCTGTCAACCAAGAAGCTGCACATTCCCTGTCACAGACAGTGTTTGAAGCACTAAGATGTAGGAGCTCACAGGGTTTGTTAATTCATTTCACAGAAAATACATATTCAACTGAGCAGGTTTAATCACTGCCCTACAGCTAACGCTTCACGATTTGTAATTCAGCTCAAATATACTGAAGGGTTTCAGAATGAGCCTTTAAACAAGGCAGGAAGCTGTGTTTTGTGACTAGGAATAAAGAACACAGCCAGACTTTATATGCATCTGCCTCCATATGGTCCAATTACAGAACTGGGTCACACCTAGCCCACAGAGAGCCATCTGGCTTCCTTCTACCTTTTCTCTCCTGAGGAAACAAAAGAGATGTCAGCCTGGGCAACACCTGCTGCCCAGAGAGCTCAGCACTGTGCAGGAGGCACCAGAGGCTCAGCTGCTGCTGCAGATGTGCCCCCAGTGTGAGCAGGACAGACAGCTCAGGAGTCCAAATTCTCTGTGTGAGTGGGGAGTTGGGAATGCACTGCCAGGAGCCAGCAGGAAGGTGCAAACACCCAAATCCAGCCCACAGCCACCAGAGTCATCCTTTGGCAACCATGCAACTGTTGGATTATTGCAAACAGCAAACTCTCAATTGCTCATACTACTGGTTTATCCTGGCATGGAACTGGGCAAAGGAATTTGAACAATAGTCAGGTAAAGGAAGAGAGGGTTTTCCACCCCCCCATCCTTTGCCAGTCCAAACACACTATCCTGGGTAAACATGTCAGACTCTGAAGAAGGGCCAAGATCCCAAACCACTCTGAAGCATTTACTGAGCACCAGCATCTTCTGAGCTCAAAGATGAAGTTACCCTTGAAAAAGAAGCAACACTCAAGCAACTGCTTTTTAAGAGAGCTCCATTTCAGTAAGAAGTACATTTTTTGCTACTTCCTTGCTCCTTTTAAAAATTATCTAATGAATTTTGCACAAGTGGCTGAACACAATTTGGTTGCTTGTTACGCCTTAAATTCTTCCAGTAAAAGTTGGCTCCCAACTTCAACTGGGTTTAAGACCAAATTGGATTCTGGCTGTATTTCAGAGAGTTACCACATTACTGCACTGGGATTAAGATGAAGTACTCTACTAAGGCTTAGGTGAAACTAAGTAGGAAATTCCACAAGAAAGTTTGAAGTTCCTGGAGTTATCCAAAGCAATTCAACACATCTGGTAATAATTAAACAGCTTGAGAAGACATGACAATAATAATTACTAGCAGTAATCTCAGAGAGGCCTTTTCCACTAAGTCCCTGAATTGCCTTCCCAAAGCCCAGGGATTTCCCTTGATGACTGATGGTTGCTGATGTGCAGGCTCCTCCCAAAGCCCTACCAGGTCACTCTTGTTCTGAAGGAGCTGACACATACTCAAATGGATCTGACCTGGAGAACTCTTGTCAGCCACCACCATCTATCATCACCACAGCTTTGATCTTTGCCTCTCTCACTTTCCATCTACACCAAGTCATGCCATTTCTGGAACGTGGTATCTTGTGCTAACTCCTGGGAGGATAGGTATAGTTTGCTTAAGTTAATCTACAGAACTGCTTTAATTGCCCAATATTGTTGGGCTATGCTTCTTGGACTCTCACAGATGCTCCAAAAAGGTTTGGTTTGTATGTTTTTAGTTAAAGCAGGAAGAGAGCAGAGGGGGAAAGCAGCCTTTGCTATCAGAGCCTGTTCTAGGGAACATCATCTCTGTTTCAGCAGTTCTTTGCAAACAGAGCTATTACAAAGGACAGACCACACAGCTGATGGAGTTTGGTCTAATCCCTGTGGCAGAGAAACCCTACTCTCCTCACTGCTGCAGAGAACGTCACGTACCCAACCAATCTCAGACCAGCACACTAAAAATTGCCATACTTCTGCTCCACATCCACCAAATACAGAGGGCTTGGCTTCAGAGGGAAAGTATGAACAGACATGCCCCCAGTCAGGAAGGTCTGAGCTCTCTATTGAAGTTCTTCAGTTCCAAATTCCCAATCCAGTCTAGCTCCTTCCTTCAAGCATCAAACTAGCCTTCTCTTACAGAAACAGAAGCTGAAGCACTTTTGGAAGGAATTTAGAATTAATCTTGACAGTCAAGTTATATTTGCTGTACCAAGTCAGCACAGGTGATTATTTGGATGAACCTCTAAGCAAGAAGTGCCAATAGACTTCTTTTTCCAGTAACGCTGACTTACGTAAGGTGAACACTCAGTACCAGGAAAATGACAACACACCTCATTATCAAATTCAAAACAAACCCTTTTCACCCCAAAGCAGACAGAGTTTCAGAGTAAGAGAAGATATCCTGTCTTGACAGAGGTCTATGTATCAGCTGTCAAATTAGGATCTGGGGGGAAAAAGCCCTACATGTGTTCTGAAGAGCTCCTGGTCTAACACATGGGGAGGGATGCTGCAACATCTGGAGACTCCTGTTCCCCCAGCATCTCATGACTCCAGACTCCACTTGGCTCTCAAAGCTCAACCTTCCACCTCTTCAGAGGTAGAGGTCTGCAAGAAGAATAAGGCAGTTGTGCCAGTTTTGGGCTCCTTCCCACTCTCTTCTGTGCATCTCGAGCCTCCAAATAAAAGCATGCCAGGGCCTGAAAGATGGTCACATGCTGTGGGCACCCACCTCAGCACTGAAATATGAGCTCCCAGACTTCTGAAGCAAATTTACCAAGGGTATTATGTAAGAGGCATCAAGGAGGAATTGTGTTTGAGCACCTGTCTCTTAACAACTTGCTGCTAAATCCAGAGGGACAGAATTTACAGTGACTTATGATCACTATTCTGAAGGATGCTGAAAGGAAGACACTTGACAGCAAGAATGCACTCAACTCCTGGTATTTTTTTTTGCAGGATTTGTACAGGACTGTCCAGGATTTTGAATGTTTGACATATAATTGCCATTCCAATTTCCCTGAAGGCTACCAAGATTGCTGTATAAATTCCAGCTGGCAGCTTAACTTAATACAGACAGTCTGAGACTCAGGAACAGGCACAAATACACTGCAGTCAATGGGACTTTGTCAGTGCAGCAATTTCATACACAAGGCATGTCAAGCATCCTAGAAAGCTTGTGGCTTTGTTACATAAATATATGTGACTTTTTTTTTGTTCAAGAACAATAAAAACTCCACAAAAGTTGTAAGATATTCTGCTGGATATGAATTGCTATGCTGTTACATATATGAACATAGGCCAAAAGAAAAAGAGTACAGGCAACACTTCTGGTTTGGGCACAGCTATTAAGTCATTTAAAATAAAGGGGTGGGGGGAAATCAGATTTTTTAGCAGCTTTATTCTTTACACTGTCAATTTAATTTCCTTGGGTATGCATTTGAAGCTCTCCAGCACAAAGAAAAGATACTGAGAGACTTCATGCTTTCATTATGCTCAGATTTGACAAGGTTAATCTAAGTCTTAGTCAGAAACAGAAATACTGATAAACTAACTCTGCGTTCTGTATCTGGAGAAAAAAAATAATCCAAGTTTTTCTTGCAGGGAAAATCCAACTGTACTCAAGTAACTTGCAGAATTGTTGACAGACAACATCAGAAAAAAAGCTATTTGTTTTGACTTTGGGGACAGGGAAAGAAAGGCTGCTTAAACAGGTCCTGCTATAGCTAGAGGATTTCCCTCCCAACTGTGCTGATGTTATCAAGGAGTAGAAGGATGTGATATGCTATGTTAAATATGAGACAATGTGAGTGTGTCTTCTGCATAAGGACTCATTTGTTTAAAACTAGCCTGACAATGTCCTTTTGACCTTATCACGTGTCTGGATTTTCAAAAAACAAAAGCTGTTGAGACCTACAGGAAAAAAAACTGAAAGAGGGGGGAAAAAAAAAAAGACACCTCCTCCCCAGTCTGCAGCAATTATTCAATACTTCAAGCCCAAACTAGGAGGCTCTTGTAGCTTAGATATGTAAGGGGTCAAATGAATGACAAAGTATTATTAACAGCCACAGGAACAAATTCAAATACCAGAACATATTTAAGAGGCATTTTAAAGAAACTTATTTAGAGCAACCAAGAATAAAATATTATTTCACATGTAATCAAACACTTTATTTCTGTGATAGGAAACCAATGAGTATAAATGTGTGTGGGTTAAAATGCACCAGATCATGCAACTTCACTCCAGCTGTATCAGTGGTGTCTGACAGTCTCTACTGTGTTCTAACACTTTGCTGTGTGTCCCCACAAAATGATTATTCTCCACATTAGAGAGACTGAGCCTTGCCCAGCACCTGAAAACGTGAGGCTCATCACCTTATACCAGCTCACTGTCCTCAAACCACAGTGACCTCCTATTTAAGGTAACAGACCCTGTTCCACCCACCACGTGGATCCAAGTTATAGTTTGTCACTAAGTGCTCTGCTATGCTCAGTGAAGCTTCACTTTCAGTTCTTCACCTCCTCCTCCCATTGACAGTTGCATGAAAAAACTTGTATACATAAACCTGAGTGCAGACAGCCCTTCTGTTTCCAGTCATCCACACACAAAAATCTGTAGAGCACTTGCAAGTATTTTAGCTTCCATTATTAAGTGAAACTATGAGTCATTCATTACATTGCTGTTTGAATAAAGTGACTCTTAAATCCATTACCTGATTTTCTTTAGCAGAAGATTCCAAGAAAGCTGCATTCCAGGATTCTGCTAAAGCTTTCCCTTCTTCATAGCTGATCACCCTGACCAAAAAAAAAGAAAAGTATGTTTCTTTATAACTTGCAAAAGAATTGAAATTTGATACATCAAGAAATACCTCAGAATACCTAAGCACATAAGTGCATTGTAATAGGAATGTCTTGTGAAGTCTGATCCAAAGTATTTGCTTTTGGCTACTGTCAAATACACTGCTGGGCCAGGTAAAACTGCTCTGTGACCCAGAAGAACAGTTGTCCCATAGTATTGCTTTGTTTTCATAATCTGTAACATCATCTGGTATTGTACAGTTCTGACAAATACACTTCTGTTACTTGCTTTGAAAAAACCAAGGAGTGTTAAATGACTGACCCTGGAACCTTATACCAAAAATCAGCATTACAACAAGTTCATGGCTCACAGTTCACAGTCTGGACACAATTCCTTTGCCAGTGCCTTATTTTAACCTACAATTGGATTTTAGCTATGGAAAGCCAAGAACAAAAGCAGTGTGTTGCAGCCACAGGAACGTGGGCTGCTGCCCTGCATTTCCCACATTCTGCAGTTCACATACCGTTCCATATGCAGGTCTTTTTTATTTCCAACCAGCATAATGGGTATTCTGTGAAAGAAAGTTCAGAACTTCAGAACAGTTACAGTATACTGAACAAAGCACTAGCAACATGCCTGCAATGAAATGAGATGAAAGTGTCACTACTTACTGGACTTTTCCCACCATATCCAATAACTTGCCATGGATAACTTTTATCACTTCAAAACTGCAAAATAAAGGGATGGAGTCACACATGCACTCTGATGTTTATCCTCAATACCCAATACACAAGCAATTAAATGCATATGCAGGTTGCTGTGTTTAAAACTTACTCTATGCATAGTGGCAGAAGTACAAAGATGCCCAAAGTGTCACCCATCTGTGTACAGCAGCAAACTGGTCCCAGCAGCAGCCCAGACCAGCCTGTGCCTACAGTTACAGCCTCCCCAGCTATGGGATTTGCAGAAATAAATAACATTACCCAGGTCTGATGCATCTAACAGAGAATCACCCAAAGTCCCTCCCACTTCTCATCTGCTTTTTATCTGTGGTGAGAAAGTTAACTGCTAAAGTCCAACAATCCTGGGATGAGCATGTCAAGTAACAGCAATTTGAAAGAAACAGTAACTAGTTAAGCAGGCTCCATGTTAAAAGAATGCATTATTTTTTTAAGAACACTTCGTTCATATCGAATTTTTAAGCTTTACTTATGCGAAAGCCAGAAAAAGCCTAAAATTCTGATTTTCTATGGAAAGTGAGTAAACTGATCTGCAGGATGGCAACAAAACAGTGATTATTCAAATACTTGTTGTCTGCTCCCCTACCACGTATGTGAAGTTTGGATGACAGGAGGTAAGAAGTACTGTGAAATACCAAGAAGCCAAAAATCTCACTCACAAAATCCACCTTATTTCACATTTAGTACTTTTGAGAACAAGCTACAAACGGGGCTGAAGAGTAGATGTTGTGCTCCTCTAGTTACATTATGGAAAAAATGCTGGTACCTGAAGCACACAACTCAGATTTGTTTTCAGAGAGGCACAGACTCACAGACAAGAGACACAACTTTGACAACTGAACAAGGACCAAAACTTTTCCAATTTCCAAGGCTGTTAGCTACAGGCAGTGCCTTGACTTGCACTGCATTTCAATGAGAACTGAAACTCTTAAAAATAGAGCAGCACTCAAACACACTTCCAGCTCAGAGCAACCAAAGACCTGGTGCCTAAGAACACTATTCAAAGTACTAAAACCTCTCACTTCTGAAACAATAAGCACTACCATGTTTAAGATGAATTTTCTGTTAAGTAGGTCAATTTTTCTGACTTCAGCAATAATTTTTGAGACTCAGTAGAACAAAATGCTTCTCCATGTTCAGCTAATAGTTTCAGTATCCCCTATCAAGAAAATGAGTTCTTTGTAAACAAAAGCATGAGTTAGCCTGGCACAGCTTACTACAAGTAACTCAAGCAGGATACTAGAGATTATATGAAAATGTGGAATCAATGAAAGGACTTTCGGGACACAAAGAGCTTATGCCAAAAAGGTATTAGCAAAATTATGGTCTTGAGAACTTGTCTTGGACATTCATTCTTATAATTATTTCAAAGTAAGAATTAAATGTAGCTTGGCTGTGACAAAGTTGAGAGGCATCGCAACACACAGAACCAGGTGAACCTGCAAACTGAAAGAACAAATACACTACAAAAAAATTCTGCTGCAAACCATGAAACCATTTCTCAGTCCGAAGCAAGAAAGATCTAGCATCTGTTCTCTGTTTCCTTTCCCCTATTAGGTGTGCTGTTTCCAGCAGAGGCAGAAAAATGCCACGTCACGGCACAGCACCCTGGTACGACTTATCTCAGGTTACAAAATGCTGCCAAGTGTTACTGCTCAACCTGGGCTCTCCAGTTCCCAATTCTGGGTATCCATCTGCTTGCCTAAGATAGGCACGTGCCCTTTTTAGTAAAAATACTACAAATAAACAACTGAGCTTTAGTAACAGATCAAGGTAGAAACCACAAGAGAAGTGCTTAAGAAGTCAAACACAGCTCTGACACAGAACCAAGTTGCTCAGACCTGCCAGGAATGAAATTGGCTTGACCAGTTAATGTTCTAGAGAGTCTTTCAAATTAATTAGGCCAGAAGGAGCAGGGACACACTAAGACAGATACTGACCAATCCAAAAAGAGCATCATCACATCAAGCTGTGAAACTGCGAGATCTGGAGACTGTAAGAGGTCCTTTCCAATTCTGTCAAGCAAATGGGTTACAGCAAACAGCTCAATGTGTGAAATACTAAAATAAATTACTAGCTGTCAGATAAATGTGTTACACAAAATCATGGAACCTAGCAAGATACGAAATTGGAATTTAATTAAGCCAAACTAGAGCAAAAGCCTTCCAGTAACCTTGCTGCTGAGAGCCTGGGAATATCAAAAATGTAGGGCGTTAGCTTTTGTTCAAGCCCTATTTAAACTTCCCACTGGAGGTTAGCAGAAAGATGGTAATTTGAAAAGAGTATTTCTATTAAGTGTGCTGTCAAAGCTCTCACCCCAGCTGGATCGATACGCGGATCAATATACACACTTTGACACAAGTCAAAGACAGGTGATGACTAATCTGACTGCCTGGACAAGTCACTGAAGCTGCCAGAATATTGTGGAAGATCTTTCCTCTTGCCTAAATACTGTTTGGGTACAGAATGTCAGGAATTGAACACAACAGGATCAGAGATACTTGGAAATTTAAAGGAAGAAAAAACCCAAACTTGGAATAAATTGACCAAGACTAAATACTGATGCCTATCTACCTACAGTCTTAACCTAACCTATGCTGTTTGTATTTTTATCATAACTTGGTTTCTGTTTTAATCAATTGAATGCTACAACAGAACACAGATTTTAATTTCTTCATCTGTGCTGCTAAGCTCAAGACATCATGAGGCAACAACAAGAGTGGCCGAGAAAGAACAAGCACTTTAGCTGCCAACCAGGGAACAAGTTGCAGAAGCCTCCAAGTGATCTATGTTGATTTTAGTCAACGCCACTTTTGTCCTCACAGTACCACTTATTAGTGAACATTTTTGTATTTTCTTTAGGAGTGGAGGATTGCCTACTTCAGGCAGAGAATACTAACTCCTCCTTCACAGAAGATACTCAACACCAGCACTGAACCCAGACCCAGAGTTAGGTATCTCCAGATGCACGTCAAAGTCTCACATCTGCTGCATTTCCTCCAGATCACACACACTTGCCCTTCTCTGCTTTAGAACTGAAGATGAAAACTAGGTACGAAGGACTCTGAAATCTGTTCAACATTAAAGACCCTGCAAACCACACAAGTTCATAACCAGACCATATCCTCTCTTTGAGAAGTACAAAAGAGCCAACAGGCAAGTTGTTTTCCCTGTATTTTACTATGGCCTGCTAAAGACCACTCTGAACGACCAGTTTTGTCAGATTCAGAGGAAAAGACACAGAACTCTTCAGCACTCACAGAAAGCTGATAAGCTCCCTTGTAAGTACAAGGGAAGCACCAACTTCTCTTTGTACTTGATGAGAGTGAAAGGTCTAAGGTCTCAATCACTTCACTCAAAAATTTTAGAGATTAGGATTATTTTGGGTGTCATAATGAAGTTGATGTACAATATAAGAAAATTAACATCTATTCAAGAATTAACAGTACTGAACACACAGCAAGACAACCACGGGAAGGGAGATAATAACAGATGATGACAGAGTTGTACAAAGGCTGAGATGCATCTTGCGAGTACATGACTCCAGCTACGATGGACTCTGTCCTCATGTCAGAATGACCAGCTAACAGCACAAACAAAATAGATACTCTGGGAAAAACTTCAAGTAAGATTATTTGCTGCAGCATGTCAAGAGTGAGCCTAAAGACCAAAACTCATACACTGCTGTTTATATGAAAATTTCTGATGGTTAACCAGAACAACCCAACACAAGAAGTCACAGAAATCTCAGAACTTAAAAAAGCTACAAGGCTGAGAGACTGACCTAGCAACTAAGTGGGTACTTCACATAAATGCACAGTGCCCTTCAGGTTCATATGTTTAAGTCTGCCTTTGTATCTGATGCTAGAGCAATGAACTCTACTTATTCCTGAAATCATTTGCTGTGCTTTTACTGACACCTCAAAACAATATAGATCAGCACTGTCATTTCTTACATAGTACCTTGCATATTAGTCTGCAAAGTGTGGCATTTGGACCTGAGGGGACATTTCTGAAAAAAACATTAATTTTAATTTCTATTACACTTCAAAAGAGATTAATTAAACACACATGAAGAAAATACAGCAGAGGCAGGAGCTGAACCCAGAAAACATTTGAACTAAAAGAAGACAACCGATTTTATTACCTTTTTATTGACGTGACTGAATAAACAAGAATGTAGCCATTGATGTCTATGGAGTATGTCTGAGGAAATATGGAGTATTCATCCTGTAGAAGGAATGTTGCATTTCAGATTAATGGTGGCACACATGAAGAAAATACAGCAGAGGCAGGAGCTGAACCCAGAAAACATTTGAACTAAAAGAAGACAACCGATTTTATTACCTTTTTATTGACGTGACTGAATAAACAAGAATGTAGCCATTGATGTCTATGGAGTATGTCTGAGGAAATATGGAGTATTCATCCTGTAGAAGGAATGTTGCATTTCAGATTAATGGTGGCACAGTTCAGAACTTGATGCTAGCAAATCAACATCAGGTTAAGTTGGTCATATTACTAAGACATGAGGTGCATTTTGTATAGGTAGTACTTTCAGAATTTTTATCATCATGCCAGTGTCAGATGTGGAATCTTTACCAAACTAAGAGAAAGCTAAAAGTCAGTCTGTATACGCTACAATTTAATCTCCAGCTTGTCTGGTTTATTCATTCTAAGACTATGGATGAGCTGAAGCTATTCCCAATCCTCTTATCCTGCTTAATTATCAGTTTGCGTTAGTACAAAACATCCACTCTGTCCCACCACTAATTAGCAATTATGCCTCTTATCTTGCTGGTGATACATTTCAAAATCCTAATTTCAACAGCTGACGACAGGATCTAGCAGTTTGTAATTTCAAGTGACACTGATCACATCTAAATTACCTAAGGGATCTGTTAGGAACTGAATAATTGTGGCTTACTAACTAATGTTTATCAACTACAGACTCAAGAAATACAGTTATTAGTTGCTTTATGACAACTCTAAGTTTACATTATATGACAAGTGTTTAAACAAAAACCAAACAAAATGCCAGAAGCTTAATCACTGAATTTACTACCCCTCTAGAAAAGGGACTGACCCAAGAGGCAAATGGAACAAACTGATATATTGCAGGTAACGCCACACAAATGCTATGAATACAATGTTAAAAACCTAAGTTGTTCCAAAAGCCATTCCCAGGAAACATTTCCATTTTGACAAGAGCCATACTTCCAATTTATGAGTTCTCAAATCTTTAAACCTGTGCTTCTCAAGATGTTAATTTTAGATTAAGATCAAATAACCCCTCTGTATATTGTCATGGCTGAACAGATGAGCACTGCAATCACACAGCTCCAATCTAGACAGCCAAAAGGAATAAAACTTCCCTAACTGGCTCTATAAATCAGCTTCATGGATCCAGCCAAAAAAGTCTGAAATAATATCACTTGACAAAAGTTGCCCTCATTTGCCTTTATTGCTCCACACTGGGGGCAGCTGTCCCCCATTCTCCCTGGAATGCCAAACTGCCACTCCAGTTGGCTGTGTAATCCCAGTGTCAATACAGAAGGGATCTGAGCTGGTCTGTGTGTAAAACAGGTGAAAGTGCAACTCTGCAGTTGCTTGAATTTACCCAGAATTTCTCAGGACTACCCCAGCTGGAATTTGGTGTTAGGTAAGATTCCCTTTCGCACTCTTCTTCTGCGACCCTGTACCAAGACTCCTGTTGAACTGAATGACACAAACTGAGGCCTCAACTGTTCCTAATTCATTACTTTATTTTTAGCTTGTCAGGAGAAGGAAGAAAAGCTGCTAGCTCCCTGAAACTTGTGGGTCAAACTAAGAATTTTGCCAAGTGATAAAACAGCACTGCTGTAACTTTTCAAGCCATAGTCAAGTTTTCATAAGGATGTAACAAATCTACAACATAATCCTCACTATGCTGTATACACATGAGTACACTCTATGGACCATTAAGCAAGACAGACCTGAGAAAGGAATCTGTTCAAACCACACCTTCCATAACCCAACATCATCTCTGCCTTCTAACCCGGTGAGCTAAAACTCAAAGTTCAAGTCATTGCTAGGAAGAAAAAAATCTGAAAATAACCACAGGCTGGGAAAGAAGCTATTTTGGTTTTATAATACTGTATAACATTAAATCAACCCTGAAATAAACCTTACTAATAGAGGTATGCTACCAATGAAGCAACACTGCCTTCCCAGAAGGCAATTTTCTTCCTCAAAGAGGAATTTTTTCTTTTATCACTATACTACACAATCAGAGCTGTAAGGCAAGTGCACTTACAACAGCACAAATTGACACCTGTGGAGCTTGCTCTGCTGCACACTCTTCTCAGCCTGCCCCTCTCTCACACCTGCAGAACATTCCCTATCAAACAATCCTGCCCTAGAATGTGTGGCCAGTATTGTGTTCTGAGAGGTTATATGTGTGGCTGATGAGCACCACAAGCCGACACCATATAAATACAGCATGGTTCTTCCCAAGTCACACAGCTCTCTTCAAAGAAAGCGATCAAACATACCTAGAAGGTTACAACCCTTCTGAATAGTCTCCCAGATATGAGCAAGCGTCCTGCAGCTTTAAAGCCTTAAGTACTGGCAGCATATTTTACAACACTATCATTGTTTAACACCACTCATAGTTTGAAAAAACCCCAAAGGCATAGTATGAGATCACAGAAGGTAAGAACATGTAAGCAATAAAAAGTTTAGGATAAAAATACAGGGGTTTAATGGTCCCTGCTGGTTTTGTTTTGCATAATACAGCATGTTTCAGAAGACACAGCACTCCCGTGCATGGAACGTGCAGTGCAAGTTCAGCCAAGCAGCACTGTGTAATGAACACCTATACCTGTACATAATGAGCACCTGCACTGGACACAGCTCCCCAGCACACTACAGCACATGTGTTCCTGTCTCCTCCTGTGCTCCCTGGGAGTCATCATGAGAGGCTCAGACGCACGCACAGACTGTCCCATCAAAATGTAAACAAACTGCAGCAGTTTATTGGCAGCCTGGTAAGTACTACCTACATGCATTTCTGTCTACTGCCCATGACTGTTTCATGGATACAAGTCATGCTGGTGTAGCTGCAGCAACACAAACAGGAAAATGTAATGAAAAATTCCCCCATGGTTTACTGAAGTGACATTTTCCATCTAAAGCAAGACAGCTAATTTCTTCTGTAAATATCAAGCAAGCTATTTATGAATTTTTGGGACATCAGAGTTAAGACACTTCCCTCTTCATTTTTTTAGACATTCAATAGACAGCAAAAAACCCACCAAACAACAACCACCAACAAAACCCAAAGCCTTTAAACAAACATCTATAGCAACATTGTTCTTTAGTGACAAAACAACTAGCCAGTATCATTTTTAAGTTAACTTTCACCTCTAAATGCACAGTCACTACCTACTTTACTCAAGAGAAGTATGAATACTCCTCTTGTATGAATGGAGTATGAATGGGTATAAATTGAAAGAGAGGAATCTAATCTAAATAGATCAGATATTAGGAAGAAATTCTTTACTGTGAGGGTGGTGAGACACTGGCACAGGTTGCCCAGGGAGGTTGTGGCTGCCCCAACCCTGGCAGTGTTCAAGGCCAGGCTGGATAAAGCCTTGAGCAACCTGGTCTAGTGGGAGGTGTCCCTGCCCAGGGCAGGGGGTATTGGGACTAGATGATCTCTAAGGTCCATTCCAACCTCTTAACATACTATGAAACTATGAATAGCTGTTATCTTAACTCTGAAGGAAGATTTAAAAAAAGAAAGATAACTTACTTGGCCAGCAGTGTCAACCAGCTGAAGATGATATTCTTGGCCATTTACTGTGATCAGCTTTGTAAAAGCTAGAACAAACAAGAAACATATAAACACATCAGAATTATACACAAGAAAGGGATCAGAAGTCACTCATCTGTGCAATCATTAGCCAAGGCACTAAAAACTTTATAGTTACAGGCTTTAAAGTAGCAATGAAAGGCTACATCAGGTGATGTACTTTTAACTAGAGTGTTTCACACACCAAAACTCAGAAATTTACTCTAAGATTTCAAATTTCAAAAGATTTTTACATTGGATGCAGCTGTTTCTCCTCTATTCCTCTAAAAGGAGAGATTAAAAAGGGGATTTACAGGCATTTCTAAGACATTTCCAGGCACCTATAATTTGTGGTAACACAAGACACTCAAATATGGCTGGCATCAAAGCTAAGTTTGAACTTACTATAGGATATTTTCTTTGGTTTCCAAGCAGTTTAGCAAGATTAACTTCCTAAATGCAAATACCACAAGGTAAGTGATCTAGATTTAAAAAACGAGAAAAAAATCTTTGGGGGCTAAACGTCACAGAACCTAACTTATGAATATACTAAACTTAAATAAAGACAACTAGCTAAAAGTTCACCATGTTGCTTTTACATCTGCTGTAGCTACCAGCCTATCTAGTCCTCAGTCACGAAGCACATTCAGTCCCTGAAAGTGATGAGAATTGCTTCTCTTCCTCGGATTCATGAAATGCCAACACACTGAGCTGAGGAATCTTACTCAGTGTTTGTGTTATGCAACTGCAAAAGCAAAACAGTGTCAGCTCTCGTAGGAATAATTAACCAACCAGAGCACACAAAACCAAGTCTTCTGCTCTGGCCTTCCAGTTGCACTCCAGACAATACTGATATACTGAGTGAAATCTGTGTTGTCCTCTGGTTTGAGGTGGTTTTCCCAAATACTAACAGTTCCCCAAATACTAACCTCATCTGTCATTGCAGCGAGGAGCAGGCAAATAAGAGTAAGGTGAATAGGTCACTACAGTGTTAGCTAAGTTGTCCAACAGCCTCCCAAAGCTGCACAGCTGAATGTTCCCAACCCTGCTGTACAGAACCTGCCTACGCCTCATGGGTTTGAACAGGGTCTCCTAGAAGCTGAAGTTGGTCAATCTTCCTCCTCCCCCCAAAGGTCACTGACCCATCAAGTCTCCACAATGTGAGTATTATCTTGAGCAAGTGGGCTGAAATATCTGAAACTGGAGGTTTCAACCCACCTCATAAATCAAAGCACCCTTTGGAAAAAACAAGGAGCAATTCAAACAGCAAAGCCGAGTTAACACAGTGTCTAAATCAACAGCATAAAGTGTAACTACAATTTCCATTACAATACCAGCAAATGCCATTTGAAATGAAGCCTCAAAGAGAGAGCTCCTGCCTTACCCTGGTTATCCCCTACAAAAGCTGCCTTAGCACATGTGCTGCTCTCAAGTCACTGTCTGGACACTGTTGTGATTGCTGCACAAAGGTTTTAAGGTTATGAAGCAAGGATTCACAACAGCTCTTTGCCTTGGATGAACACTGCGATGGGGACAAACTGTGTCTGAACAGATGTTAACAGGCAGCGTTGCTATATACAGTATCAGTGCTTCAAGTCAGAGGGAAAACAGACTCCTCTGGAGACACACTGCATTAACAGGTGTATGAAAATAACAGTCTCTTGACACTTCACATACACATCAAAGCACTCTGCAGTCAAAGTAGCTTCAACAACATCATGAAGTTAGTATTTCAAACCTGAGACAGCAGTTTTTTCAGACTATTCTAGAAGCCTAGAAGAAACCCAGCAAAGACATGATCATCATCATCATAGCTATCATCATGGGTACTGGAAGCAGAGTGTGACAGAGTCAGGGGAAGGAAACAGTGGAGGAGTCACCATAGACTGGGTGAGGAGAACTGTCAGTTCAGTGCAGAGGCTTGCAGCACTAGGAGCAGCCCACTGTAAAAGCACAAATCTGCTTCGACGTAGTCACAATTAATGACTCCCATTTACTTGCTGAAGCTTTTTTAAAGTATTCCTGGTTAAGAATTTCATCTTGGGAAAAGCCTGCAACTGTGTTTAATCTGATTCATGATCCACAGGCTCCTTTGATGCAGAGGAATCAACCATTTCCAATTCCATCATCTATCATCCTGGGACACATTGCCTTCTGCTGTGCTGATGAGCAAGACAAACAACAATATGATCACTGCACAGCATGGCTCTGCCTGGCAGCCCAAGGACAGACTTCAGCAGACCTAACAATCTCTGCACCCTTAAGTCATAACCTGAGCATCTGCAAAATGCTGCCTATCAACTGGAGCATGGGTAAAGCTCCACGAGCACAGAGATCTTGGAACAGGACACGCTTACACCCTGCAATGTGTAACTCCAGCGCAGCGTTACCCTAAGATCAGGTATACTGCCATTAGACTAACATGAAGAAAATTACCTGCATGTTCAACTCAAATGACAACTGCTGCAAAACCAAGCCATCATGATCCCCAAAAAAATTTAGAAAAAAATCAATACCAGGCAAACAAATGCAGGGTATTAGATTAACAGTGCTATTTAGTAAAGGTTTGAGAGTGGTGTAACATCATGCCCACAGAGCTACTGGCTGGTGGTTAAATACAACCACCTTGTAAGGGTTCCTTGGTTACTACCTCCTGTACCCCTTTCTACTTGTATTCATTCCAAAGTCAATGCCTGTCTCTAATCTATCAGGACATATTTCACAACACTGAAATGTGTGATGCAACAAAGCTGTTTATCATTTTTTCTCAAGCCTCACTTGGACCCCTTGAGAAGGCTGCTCACCAGCAACTCCTGGGGTGAAGCACACTTCACCTTTCCAGTGCAGCTGCCATGACATGCAAGGAAGAGGTTTAGCCTTAGAGACACTTCTAGCAGCCACAGAGTCCTCCTGATACACAAGTTTAGTAGAAGCAACTGAATTCAACACGCTTGATAACTTAACTTTTCCAGTTCTATTGTAACATAAGCAAAGGAAAACGCAGCAGTGAAGCAGTGTTCACTTAGTGTTTTTTCCCTTTACTACTTCCAAAGGTAGAGATTTTCACACTTAAAAAATGAAATTCCTAGAATATTAGGTCTTACTCATATTGTTCAAGGCTTACATGCTATGCAGTAACTGGGCCTCCTGAATATATGGTATGCAATTTGTTCCTGAAAGAGCTTAAGTTAAGTCAAAACAATTAGTTTATACTAAACCCATCAAAACTAGTTTCCTATCTGTCTTATAAAAAGATACCTTCACATTAGAATGTGCTTCCTCTTCTGTTCTTCATAGAAGCATTTTAAAAACATTGGTCTCTATCAGGCCTTTTAAGACTTAAAAGATGGGACAGATTTCCCACTGTTTTGAACCTCAGGGGATAACTTGTATGTTTTCAGCCTTTGCCTCCCAGCAACATGTTCTGACACCAGAAGGGCCCTTCAATTCTCTACCTTTCCTCCAAACTGTTTCCTGCAACTCCTCCAGCCACACCACAGATCACAAGACTTAACACCAAATGAATAACGGTGTTTGTTTCCCAAACAAATAAGAAATCAAGTGAAAAGTTAAGCCTTTTCAAAATGCCACAGCCCAACAAGTTTTCATGGCCATGACATGCTCAACATGTAGAATTCAGATTAAGCAAGCAGCACGGACTACAACAGTCAAATAAGAGCAAAATTCATCCACAGTGTAATGTCATATAGCTAAGAAACACTCCCAGTGTGAGACATGCAGCTACAGAGTTATTAACATCAGTTACAGACAGCAGGTTCCTGTGGACAACAGCTTGTAAAGGATGAAACAAGCCAACCTTGAACCAAGGTGTCAAAATCCTGAACCAAAACACAACCTCAGTATTTTGTAAAGACTCTGACCCTATGTCTCTCAAGCTTTACTCATTCCCATTTACCAGCCTAAAACTCAAAGATCACTTTTAATAATTTGCATTTATATAGCAGACACTGAAAAAGAACCTGTGCCAATTGATATTCAGATTGAAAACATAGAAACTTAATCCCTAGTATTTTGTCAGCAGCTTTAAAACAAACCTTATATATAATTGTAACAAAGTAAAAAGGGATGATGGAAAGTGTTAGTATTAATGACAGCTGCATAAGGGCTTGACATATCTGGATGATTCAGGCCAAGGGGTGAATTATACACCCTGACTCACTAAAGCAAATTCAGAGCTTCTCAAAAAGTTGCACTTGAGTTTTAGTTCTAAGCAGTAAAATAATTCTGAATAAAATATCCTGACAGCTACTGATTCACAATTATGACCACATATATATATTCAAAGGAAACCTTGTTCTGCTGATTGCTTCACTCAAACTTCCAGAGCACTACACAGGTTTAACATCCTACTGCAAAAACGTGTGCTACCACTGCACTTCAGAAGTCATTAAAATACAAGAACTCCGGGGTTACCATCATGAAATCAGTTTTATTTGCCACATGATTAAAGAGAGCCAATATGATCAAGTTACTCAGTCTAGCACCACAGTTGCTAAAGTGCTTTATGACCACTGCTAGCTCAGAAAGAGGTGTTTGGATTGTAACAAATACCAGCAACTCACCTCTGAAGTGACTTTTTGCTCTTGGCAGCATTTTTATTATTAGTCTTTACTCACCTGCTATGTTAGCTATTCACAAAGGCACTAATATTATTTTTTTTAAACTGCTAAGAGGAAAAAAAAAGACAATCAGATACCCATATTTGCAGAAGCTGATCATGTACCAGCCTTGTTATCAAGCAGCTGGAAAGGAGTAATTTAAAAGATTATCATGCTATCATGGCCACAGCATGTCTACCTTCTAAGGTAGCAATTTCATCCTGGCTGGCATTGCTGTGTTTCTGTTCATCTGGACATACTGATCCACTGAGACATGTGAAACTTTGGAATACTTGTATGTAGAGACACATTTTTATATAGATAGGACATAGGTAATTTCAAGTGCCCCAACTATATTAGGTGAAGCAGATGTCCAAAACCACACATACAATACAAGGAGATGCATTTTCACCAGATTCATTAGGTTTTCCATCATTTAGTGTTAAAGACAGTTCAGCTGTTTGAAGAAATATGCACACAGTGATTTCCATGTTGCAATATTGTAAACACTGGTTTAAAGGAGTAATAAAACTTAAGTGTTAATTAATGAGCTTTAATGTTAATACATAAATGCTCTCACAAGTAATATAACCTCAATGGCTTCTGATACACGTTAGTTAGGTAGAGAAGAGCAGCTTATCAGTTATTTACTTACTGTTCTCTATGGTTGGATCATACGAATCAACAAACTGTCCTTCCACAAACTGAATCGTCAGCGAAGATTTTCCTGTAAAGCAAGGAAAAGAATCAGGATTGAAAGAAGTCTTCAGGCTGTTATCACTTTACACTTACTCGTAGATACACTAATGTTTTATCTATCTGATAGATATCTAGCCAATATGAGCTTTGCATGGTTCATTTAAACTATCTACACATGACAACTGACCTATTTTTAAATTGAGTGCCTATTCCTAGTAACTGGGTCTCCTGAATATATGAAAAGCAGTGCAAAAGCTACTTGGTATGTGTTCTGCTTTTGTTTTAACAGAGCATAATTTAAATGACTCCTCCAGTTTAAAACAAACCTAAAAGCAGCAGTGTATGATCCTCATAAAACTAAATTTAACAAACTGCTATAGTTGGAAGGTTTTTCTGTCAAGAAGCAAGTAAAACTCGAAGTCATTTTCAGTCACTGCACAGAAAACTTGGATAGAATTAGCCAGATTTGGTTTGACTTGGAGATTGGACATATTTCCCATGACAAAAGGATCATCTCAAAATTCTTGAGACCAATATATTCACCAATTAATCCTCCTACTACCACACCACCACAGACCAGTGGGAACTGTATTTTAAGCAGTGACTGAGGGGGCATAATTGGATATTTTTCTTTTGAAAGCAATTTAACTGCTACTTTGGCAGACAACTTGATGTTCCCCATTTCAGTCGGAGAGATGCAAAACACCGCACTTAGCAGCAGATTGAAAAAATGACAACTCATTCAGTTGTGAAAGATTTTACAAGATGGTGAAAGCAAATCACAGACATTGACCTTAAAAACCACCTTTAAAGCTCTGCAGCTGAAGACTTTTCAAAGCATTACCCAAGCCTTAACGGAATTTCCATTACAGCACATCTTCTCCATTTGGGAATCTACTAGATCCTATTACATTATGTTTACTGGACAAATACACTCTAATGAAGACTGCCAAGTGCATTAGCTGCTTTTGGACATGAGCATATGCTTCATACTCCTTTATATTCTTCTCATTGGCAAGAAGCACCAACAAAATACAATCTCACGTTAAAATTTTGAGTCAAGACCATCCTACTCCATGGAAGCCTTTCAATGCCATCTTTAGTAACCAACTTTGTGGTGGAACTATACAGTAAAATTGTTTTCAAGAATAAATCACTTTGGATAAAGACTTCCCACTTATAATGCTCAGACCACACCATGTTTATACCTTGCTGTAGAAAAAGTCCTTTCCTAAGCATTCCTCCAGGAGATGCTAAAAACAGTTTTTCTTTTCATTCTCTGCCATGCTTATCCCTTTCCTGTCTCCTATGAGTCATGCCAGTTTATTCAAGAAACAATGCACAAAAAAAATAAATAAATCTAGACAAACCCCAGAAAGACAAGCTTTTAGGAGCTGCTTTTTCTTAAATCAAGTTCTTAGACACAATTTTCTGGTCTTCTCTAAGAGCACAGCTAACGGTGTCACGCTCACTGTGCATGAGCTGACAGAGAACATTGAACTTGAAACTGTTGCTCCACAGCACACACCGCACACATCCAAAATCATCCTAATAAGGACAGGTTAAGGATTCAGACTGTGCATCCCAGCAACTTTCTGAAACTGTGTATTTTGGACACCACTTAGAGAGCAAGTGAACTTTCAAGCTATTTCTTCTACAGCTATAAGCTAATCAAGTTGCTACCCAGAGTTCATGCTTCCAGATTCTCTGCCAGTATCAGCACATTAAGCACTCCATTTTAAAACTAAGTTAACTATTCCTATATTAGGCTGTTTAATCTTCAAGATAAGGAGAGCTAAGTTCAGCACAGATCACCACTGAACATTTTTCCTCCTAAGAAGGATCCTAAACTAACCAAAAGACCTGACTGCTACCGTCTGTCTGTGCTAAGCCTGGAAACTGAACGCCAGAAAGAAGTTGGAGCCAACAGAAAACGCTGCATTTAACACCCAGCTGTATTAATTATTGCTTTCCTCGTAACAGTGAAAGAGGAGGGAACAAAAACAGACAAAACCAGTGTTCCAACACTCTCCTCCTTCCTGCAAGCTTTGTAACAAGCCTTCCAGTAATGATGTGTTCCTGATCACAAGAGGATGCCTGCTTTCTCCAGCAAGCCACAGGGAAGCTCTCCAGTCTTGGATTCAGCACCTACCCCCTCAGGATAAGTGCATGCAACAGGATCTGACTAAACCAAGGCTTCCAAAATGGACAGGAGAAATTTAAAACCTGAGCCATTAACACCCATTGCCGTGTCACAGCCCATGACCAAACAGCATGCAGAACCATGTAAACAACAGCTCAGCTTGAACTTTGTCCCACAGATTTTATTCCAGGCCTTTGACCTGTGCTCGCGGACAGAGCAGAAAAATCAAGTTGACAATTTAGCTCCGATGGGCTCTTTCCCCAGGAAGATCAGGCAACATTTTCACAGAGGATTGCAACACAAACACAAGGTCCATGAGGCAGGGGCCAAGGAACTGCACGCAACTGTGACTGCTGATGTGCCAACTCCATCTCGGAGCACTCTGGGGAGGAGGACACGGGCAGACACTGCTGCCTGCATGTGCAGACACCACTAGCACACTGCAGCATCAACAGGACAAGAGAGTCTGACACCAGCAGCAAAGACTGACTGGTTACTCCAGGGTGCACACCTCGAAAAGGCTCAGCTCTAATGTGCCCCCATTTGGAACACAGCCACACGGTTTTTAGTTTGCTAAGCTGCTCCTTGTGGCATTCTCCATGCTGGTGTGTTTAGCATACCCACCGTACTCAGGTTTTAGGAAAATAAACATCCACTGAGACGAAAGGAGAAGTGTCAGGAGCAGAAGCAAGGCTGGAAGCTGGCTGCAGAGCCCTGCTACAGTAACTCAGTGCACCAGACACTCTGGCCAGAGGAGTTGTAAGCAAAATTCTCCAAGTTTACTGACTCTCCCTCTCCCTGGAGGAACAGGACAGAAGGGAAGGGCTGAGAGGAATGGGTTTTATAACTGTTTAGAATACAAGTCCCATGTGGCTGAAAGCTCAACTCAAGTTGTCCAGAAGTACCCAAAGTGTATTTGCATACACAATTCATTATTTATGGTATTATGTGAGAGTGGTAAAGAAAAGAGTTTTCCACTGTCAAAACATTAAAGGAACAGGTTTTCAGACAGAAAGCCAGTTCAAAAAATAAAGCTGTCATGTTTCTCTTCACACACTAGACCACTCGCTCCATAAAGCGGAATGTCCCATAAACACTCTGACTAGTGCAATCATAGCACATCAGTTTCAAATGTCATTGCAATTGTCAAGGCAAAACAATTGCCAAATTCACTTTTACTCATCCTTTTACTACTTGGACAAGAGCTCTGGTATTTAATCTAGCCTAAAAATTCAAGCTTTACAACACTAGGCAGTTTACCAAGCAGATGAGTAACTGAGCATGGGTGGGCTCAGAACAGCCGGTGGCCCGAAGAGGCTGTGCCTCCTCTTTGGAGCACCAGCACCTGCCTGACCCCATCCCACAGCCCCATCCTCCCTGCCATAGGCAGGGAAAGCCCAGATTAAATCCTCAGCCAACTTCCCCCAAACCCAGGAGACAGAAATGATGCAACTGGCCAGCGAGCAAGTCAAACAACAGCTCCACAAGCACAGCATTGTGCAAGCTCAGTTCTGCAGCTGCCCTCGAACGTGGCATCGCCACACTGACAGCCACTGGCAGCACAGAGCAGTTTATCTCAACAGGAAGAATTTCTCAATACTTGAAACTGTCTGCACAAGCCATCAGTAAACAGTTTGTTGGGGTCAAGAACAACAGCTACTGAAGAGCTAAAATTCCCCATTCTGTTAGCGTTTTAGAGGCACAGTTTCCTTAACTCATCTTTTTCTATTAAAATGCCTGCTTACACAGTTTGCACAATCATTAAACACTTAACAGCATCTAAACCACTCCTACCACAAGCCTAGCACCTTACCCAAGTTAGTCTCTAATCTTCCAGTCTAGAGACATACTTAGTCTACTCAGGTCTCCTTAAGACTCTCCTCAGACCTCCTCTTAGGTCTACTCAGTCTTATCTACAGAACAAACTAGTTTAGGTTTTGTCACAAAAGCATTCGACAAACTTCATCAGGAAACACTGTCAGTCACATCAAATCAGGTAAGACTGGCTGCGTGCTCAACCTTCAGTATCTCACACACAGCTACGCTCAACTTACCGCGCTTCACAGAGATGAGGTTCTCATACCAAAAGTTACACTTGATCTAACTTGAACTTTGGGATTTGTATCAGCTTTAATTCACAATACTGAGATGCACAAAATGGAGACACCAGCATTTCCACAGTGCAGATTATCTATTCATCCTCAGAGCAAAGAAGGGGACTGAGCAACTTCTTGGAGCAGATGGAAGTTAACTGGGTAGCAAAAGGAATTACTGCAGCCCTCTATAACAAAAATCCTTTCACAAGATAGTCTGCTATCTCAGAACCCATCACTAGCTCATCATTCATCTCAGGCCTCACTGTTAGCAACCTTCTATGGTTAATTAATATTCTCCCCCCCAGGTACTAATTATGGCTGTGTAGTTGCTATTTTGCTGATCATTGCTATGTAGTTTGGCGAATTATTCTAATGACTACAAAAATTATACATTTGGGTCAATAAAGAATTCTGTTTCTAAACCTCTGGAGACAGCAATATAATGAGTAGCTTGTGTTTTACTCACATGCAACTTAATTCTACTACTAGACTTTTAATCATGGGGAAATATCACATATAAACATCTCTTTGAGCTGCAGTTTTATCCACTTTGCAGTGACTTCCTTGCAATGTCAACATTATGACACCAGGAGTAAAAACCATTTTCCGATGCTTACAGACAAAACTCTTAATGACACACAAGAGCTCAATTCCTACACTTGTTCATATGATGCTTGTGCCTGATTTGCAACAGTGTGGTGGCACTCTGCTCTGAGCTTTCTGAAGGAGACTAAGGGATCTGTCCTTTTAATCCTGTATGAGTGCAAGTCTGAGGACCTCAATGACACA